CTACTTAGTCACCCTGGCAACAAGACCAAGTTGCGACAACGAGGTCAACCCACTTCTGTAAATAAATTTACCTTCTGAGTACACTTTTCCATGTTCTCAACCTCATTATATTCTTTCTTGAAAAGAAGAAGCGATAATAAAAGCACAGTAAAACTCATCCACAAACATATGTAGAATAAAAGATCTTCACAACAGCCGGTTGCTTAAATGGCCGTTAGTTTCTGTCTTATATACTGGAATATAAATAAAATGGCTCAAAAAGGATAGAGGAGAAGAAGTAAATAAGATGATCATACTCGCTAGAGAAGCCTCTTCTTCGCAGCCAAGCATCCACGTCATCAGGCTTCGCCTCAGGAGTTAGTCGTGCGCCCAGCCCGGCATGACTGTGAGGCACCACATCGTCATTAACTTCGGCTTGTCTCTTATGCATAGAAGTAGATGCTTTGTGCATTACGGAGCCAATTTCGTCGACATTTGGGGACTCGGACCTGGTTGGTTCAGCAAACTTATAGGTTAGGCCACGACTGCCAGGTGGTGAGAGAGCGATATAGGAGTTTCGATTCCTTGATAAGTCTGGCAAGTTGGCACCTGAATCATTCATTTTTAGGGCGTCATCGTCATCTGAGCTCAGAGATAAACGCTGCTGCATCTCATTGATCAGCGCCTCGAAGGCCTCACCTAGTTGGCTGCATTCAGTGCCTAATACAGAAGAAAGTGTCAAAAATAAATGGTGTGTGGCTTGCCTTTCATATAAACAAATAATATAGGGACCTACGCAAAGGAACAAGAAGCAAATAAGTCAAAAGCCACTAACTAAACTTTTTAGAAGAGTGAGTGATAGAGAAAATTTCGTCGTTAACGGATGGAGGGCAATAGATAATATATTCACACCAAAATAATCATGATTTATAGTGAATCTGCGAATCTGTGCTTTCTACATCCAAATACTCGAAATAAAAGGCTGATATAAGCGTAACCAGCTCCCACAAACCTAACTTGATGTAAAGAAAATGGAAAGGACTATTTTCTACCAAAAAGCTGGCAGTTAGCTCATGACCAGTTTTAAATAAATAGTAAATTATCAAAAATAGACACATTTATCACTAGGCCAAAATTATCTTATATGTGTTTTTTAAGCCACACGGAAATTAGGAGCACAAATTGCCTAAGCCACTCATTCCTGCTTAGGATATAAAGAACATTTCGCTTTTTAAAACGTATGGTTCTACTATCCAACTAGATAAAATTAACTGAGATTGAAATTGAGGTATTTTCAACCTAATATCCTACGCGCAAACCAAACTGGGTCCAGGCAACGAGTGAAAATATTTGATGAGTCTGAAATACTAGCGAGAATATTAGGGTAAAAGTTAATTATTAAGATTAAATGATTATTTTTGAATATTGCTTGTGATGCATATTTGAAAAATATATCAATGTAAAAACTTCCAATTAAATATTACATATATGTATATATATATATATATATATATACTTGTGTGTGCTAGTGTGCAAAAAAATTCTTTTATAAAGAACTGTCAGTCGATCAAGTGACTTTCAAGTGTATCATTGGCATGTTAGTAAAGTCGTTTGAAGAGCTCAGCATAGAAAATCACACTTCGGTAAAAACTGACTAATGATAAATACAAATAATTAAAATAATAATGTAAACACAAATATGCATAAGATACCGAAAATTCTTAAATGGCACTTTTCTTGTTAATGAAAGCACAGACCCACAACGCTTGCACAGAGGCTTCGCGAGTTGCGTAGAATAATGCTTCTTTTTAGTTAATCTCATTGTCAGGAGTGTCCCAGTTAAACAAATATTCAGGCTTATCTGTTGACAAGCTTATTTTTTCGATAGAATTGTTACTTAAAAGTTTCTACTTCTAACAATAACTTACTTTAGGATAATTTCAAATTTTTTTTATATACAATGGTTGGTTTGCCGGACTGAAAGTGGTCATACGTTTAGTTTTGGGCATGACTACGCCTAGAGCTAAAGTTTGAGGTGGCAAACTGAGATGAATTTAGACACAAAAGCAGAGATTTCCCTCCAATAAATATAGAATTTATATTTTTTCAACAAGGAAGGAAGGTGATTTTTCTTTTTGTCCGCAAAGTTACCACTCCATCATCAAGCTTATCAGCTGGGCTTGAAATGGAGATAAGGTCGTTGCTTAGTGGAAAACTCATCAAAAAATTCCAATTGCGAGACGGTGAATGACTTTAAAGTTAATCAAGACCTAGTGTTTAATAGTAACAGTGGTAAATTTGAGCTTATACAATACGTGAAATACAGACAAATCAAGGTGCATACTTAAAAAAAATTAATTTAGTTACTTTAGCCTTTTTCGGAAAGTTGGGGAAAAAGATATCAGTATGTTAGGAGTATTAAATTTGAAGCATGCTCTGAGGTAAAGATTTTAAACTTTTTCATCAAAGTAATTAGTGTTTTGAAGTTGTATGAACTATTTTTCTTTAGTTACTTCAGTTTTATAATTTTGCGATTTTCAGATGGATAAATGCGGGTGACTCACCAATAATTGTTATTTTGACCTGACCTATGTAAAAATGTACATTAAACGTTTTAGTAAGCAAATGCATTATGCTAAATTACTTTATAAGTGACTTTGGTTTACGTAAAGACTAAGAGGTCAGAAATTTTTATAAAAAAATAGCAATGGGAGATTCTGACAATTCCTAAATAACAAATTATTCTAAA